GAGTCTCGACAAACTGATCCATCCTGTCGTCCAATCCCACGTATGTCTCTGTAGTCTCGACCAACGAGACTGCAATGAATCTGCACCGCATTCAGACACACATCGCCCCTCTGCAAGCAACTCGGCGCCCGCGACTCCCTGTACCCTCTTCGTCGTCAGGTGCACGAGCCCTTGCGCGCCGGTCCATTTCGGAGTTGTGGTGCAGATAATCTGCAAGCATTGCTGCGGAAGTCAACGCCGAGCCCCTCACGAAGGAATGAACTTGGCCGAGAAATCCTCGTCATTGCAAACAAAATATGGCGCACTTACAACAAGCCGCCACACACTGTTCCGATAAACAGTGCCGTAGTGTTTTTTCAGTATATGAAACACAAGTAGGTAGACAATATCATACATTTTATCTCCTTCAACGAGATTCAGAACGAGGCTATTGGAGTACGTAGTGGGTCTAGACATGAGCACCCGAACATGGTCGATTGCATGATGATGAATGTAAGTCTCTGTTGTCAGTCTTATGACTCGTTCGTCTTCCACGGCGACAACAAAATGTCGATCCTCCATTTTGTGTCTGTCTTTGTACTCCAACACCTATTCGACAGGCTCTGTAACCGAGTTTTGCGACTCATAATAATATACGTTCTCGCCCGTACGGAGTTTCGTGGAATGGTAGCATTGGAAAATCATTGGCGCCAACCACATAGTCGTTGCTTGCGAATGGGGAGTCGAGGAAGCTGCCGAACACACAAAGCTTCACCATAAGCAACAGAGCAACGGATTTGCATAATACAAAGGTGAGGAACACAAGGTGTGTCTTCTTCTTCGATCAGCACATCTTCTTCTTATTTTTATTAATCTTTTTCTTCTTCTTTTTGGTATTCTTTATCTTCTTCTTCTACTTATTCTTGTTCTTGTTCTTATTTTTCTTCTTCTTTTTCTTTTTCTTCTCGCGTCTCGTGATTGTGTGTGTGAGTGTGTGTGTGTGTGTGTGTGTGTGTGTGTGCGTGTGTGTGTGTGTGTATGTGTGTGTGTGTGTGCGGGTCGAAAAAAAACGAGGTGTGAATGTCGCTTCCGTTTCAGCTGAATAGTCTATATATAATTGTTGCACACACACACACACACACGCAACTGGCAGACGACGTACGATAATAACAACAATATAAATCTTAGATCTGTATGTCACATCATATGCATATCACAGAGAGAGAGAGAGATGTGTGTGTGACAAAGAGAGGTCGATAACATAATGCTAGAGATGATTCACGAAGAATAGTAATGTTGTTCACCACATATAAAGTCCCGTGTTGTTCTCTCTCTCTCTCTCTCTCTCTCTCTCTCTCTCAAGTTTCTGACTCCAAAGAAGGCAGCCGACATCAGCACACACACTCCATTTTGACTAAGGTTAGGATAACGGACCTGATATGTGATGAACAACATGATTCGCATTCATGTCGTTGAGCACATATCAAATCCGTTGTCCTAACCTTAGTCAAAATGGAGCAACGCCTCTCTCTCTCTCTCTCTCTCTCTCTCTCTCTCTCTCTCTCTCTCTCTCTCTCTCTCTCTCT